GGGAAGACACCGACAGCGCCGTGGGCTGGAGCCGGCTGCCCCGTCACACCCGGTCCTGCCCGGGCCACAGGCAAAGCCCGTCGGCTGCGGAGGGCCGTGGCACGCAGCCCGCGCCGTTGAGCTGCAGCGCGCACGGGTCTGGCTGTGAGCGGTGGGCAAGAGAAGACGCGGCATTACCGCCTGCATGGCCACGCGGCACAGCCCGGGCTGGCCTAAATGCCGCAGAAAAACAGAGGACATGGGACTTCACCAAACGTCACTTCTCCAGTGCTCTTTGGGCAGGACAGGAAGAACTTGTGGTCCTTTAACATGAGCACAGGCTGTCCGCAAAGAGAAAAGCACTTGGTAATCACAAAAGCAGCACAGCACATGGTATGAGCAGAAATAAATGCCCTTGTGAGCTCACGGAGGGGGAATCAAGGACAGGTACCGGCTCCTGGAACTCCGACCTGCTGCATCCCACCCCTCGGGAGGATGGATGTGCCTTCCTCGGCCACGTGAACGGAAACGCAATGGAACTTGCTCAAACTAAAATTCAAAGGGGCTGAGGCGCTAGGCTTACTCAACTGAAATCTGACCTTAGACCACAAAAGGTCATGAATTTGTTACTGAAGAGCAAAGCTCTTTTGCAGCGCAGACAGGCCCCGACCAGCAGCAGCAGGAGATGCTATGACGGACAGCCACGTTTAGCCGCCCTTCACAGTTCATTCCGCTCCTGCTCCTCTCCTCGCAGCCAGAGGCAGTGCATGGGGGTGGTAAGAGGGTACATCCCTGTGTCACCTGCTGTCCGTGAATCTGCCTGACCCCTCTCAGAACATCCTGCCTGGCTCCACAGCATCCCGTGGCAGCCAGCTCCAAAGGTCACTTTCTGCTACACGAAAAGCTGCGCAGTGGCAGCTCTGCGCTGACCTCATCCATCCCCTTTGGACACTCTCTGAGCAGCTCATGTCAGCCCTCCCGCAGCCTGCTCCCCTTCCAGACAGAGTAACGGCCTATCTCAGGCTCTCCTTATTAAGCATTTCCTCCGCTGTTTTTGTAGCCTTTCCCTGCGTGTTCTGTCCCCTCTTGGAGACGCAGGGGCCGATCCAGAGCCACCACAAAGCTGAGCCTCGTCGCCCTGAGACCTTTCTGCTCCAGCGTGGCCCTGAGACACCACGGCTGCACCACAACCCACGCCAAACACACACAGCACAGAGGTCGAGCTTGTTTCAAAGTGCTGCAAGTCCAGGAGCTGAATTACTTCTCTATTCCATTACGCTGAAGCTACAGAATGGTTTCAAGGAGCTGTATTACAGGAACAGGCAACAGCACAGCTTCCCAGAGAACAGCATCCCACCTGAAGAGCCCACTTTCACACGCAGCTCCTGAAACACAGTAATTTCCCTGAAGAGCAGCTGAGAGCCACTAGCAGACACGCAGCGGAGGACCCGCTGGCAGACCCGCAGGGGGGGGCCGGCCTGCCTGTGCCCACCCACGGCACCAGCCAGACCCCCGAGCGTGGGGAGCGCAGGCCTGTGGCCCCGCCTCGCGCCATGCAAGCGCTGCCGGGCGGCTGACTGACGTCGCTGGTGCCGTCACGTGTAAGGATGACAAAGAGCGGCTTTCCAGCCTTGGGAAGCTGACTGACACCCGGTGCACAAAGCAGCACAGCCACCAATACAGCCTCAGCAACACAATGGTTTGTCAACGAGCCTTTCTTCCCCCTCTCAGAAACCAAACGTTTAATAACATTGAGATGATGTTCTCACTTTGAGGAACTGCTCTTCCTTCCTCTCCCCAGGCAGCAGCCTCACCGCCTCTCGGGGACAGACAGCAGCAATTCAAGGACCCTTTTCTGCCATTTTACAGTGTTCTTGCACAGCACGCCGAGTCGGCATTTAGAGCAGAGTACAACTTACCACTAGGAGAAAACGAAAACCAAACCCAAACGTGACAGGAGTGGAGAGAAGCAAACAAAGGATTTCTGACAGGATCAGTTTAATCTTTGTTTCATCCCCTATTTTCAGCAGGTTTACTAAATGCTTTTTTTTTCTTTAGGAGAAAAAAACCCCATCCAGACCACCTGTGTATGTGTAAGTGATCCAACTGTCACTGTGCAGCAGAGCCCACACGGGACAACCCCACACACCGAGGTCACAAACGTCACACGCGAGGGAGAGGCGATGCAGACACCAGCTCCACAGGAACGCAGAAGTGCTTGGGACTGTCTTCTCATTGGCTTGATCCTCTGCTTCACCATCAGCAGGACATCAGCAACTTCACGTTCCACGGGTCTCCTTTCTATTTCACTGCTCAAGAACGAATTGACAGTTACAGTCTCCTCTCCACAGAAGTTTTAATCAACTATTCATCTGAAGGGCTTCTGTTCTCCAAAGTCCCCCCATTTGTCCCTTTTTACTTACTTTACCAGCTACACCCTTCCTATATAGCTGGAGTGAGCCATCAATCACACTTTGGGGGAAAAATACACTTAGCTACTGAAATATTTTGTTTTCTAATTTGCACGCAAAGGTCTTGTTTCCCTAAAGGACTTACAGCAGTACACATGTGCACCTACAGCAGTCCAAGAGCACCAAACACAGCACACCAGAGTGGTGGGGGCTGGTGGGGCCCTCTGGAGCTCATCCTGTCCACCCCCCGCCAGAGCAGGGGCACCCTGAGCAGGTTGGACAGAACATGTCCAGGCAGGTTTCGGTCTCTCCAGAGAAGGAGACTCCACAGCCTCCCCGGGCAGCCTGTGCCAGTGCTCCACCACCCTCACAGTGAAGAAGTTTTTCCTCATGCTGAGACGGAATTTCCCGTGTTCCAGTCTGTGGCTGTTGCCCCATCGCTGGGCACCGCTGAACAGAGTCTGTCCCCATCCTCCGGACACCTGCCCTTTAGGTCCACAACTGAATCTACAGGTGAACTGAAGATCATTTTAGTGTATTACTTCAGTGAGTACTTTTTAACACGCGACCCCCTCTGTGGCTCTTCCAAGCCATGCTGTGAACTGACACTTACCAGGAAGGTGGGACACTAAGTTTCTGGAACACAGGCCAGGGATGCTTCCTTGAGATCTGAAGATACCAAAACTTGCAGTTTCCAGTGCTGCTTGTTTTGTTTTACCTAAGGCACAAGCCTGGCCAGAGTCAGACACAGACAAGGGCAAGATATTGAAGCAAAGGCTTGCAGGGACACTGACCGCACAAGCACAGGCTCTGCGGGAGCAGGACCGCAGCACCCCGGGGTGTCAGCCCTGGGCTGCGCCCTGGCGCCGGCCGGGGGCGGCACACTGCGCCCTTTGCTTGGAGTAACCTCTTGGTTTCAACACCGCGGCACAGGGCCACATGTTAACTTATATGTACCAGTGCAAAACCAAACCCAACAGGGTCACTGACAGCACGAGAGTTACGCTTTTCCTAGAATAAAAGAAAAACATCTGTTGCAAGAGGAGCAGTTACCATTTCGGCATTATTCTGTCACTGCCTCGCTGAGGTTACCTTTCTCCAGTTTGTTAAGAAAAAAAGGTGCTACTGAATTTAGTTACACTCTAACATCTACAGCCAAAAATTTCAACAAAACTGCAGTTTAATTTCAGAAAATGTGTTAAAATATATATATTTATATATCAATTTGACACACTGCGTTAGTTTACACAAATGATGGTCTCTTGAAAGTGTATTTATGAAATGTACATTTTTAATTTAAATACTCAGTATACACTGCACTTAATCTGCATGTTGCATTTATTAAATACATTAAAATCTGCAATGTAACAAAACGTTTTCTGCATACGAAATTCAAAACACCATTTTAAATGAACAAAAGATGGCTCACTTCATTTATTTATTTTTTTTAAACAACTAGTGCATAGCACACTAGCTCAGCTCCACCAACACCAGCTGTTCTTTCTTTTTTATTTGACATTGTTCACAGACTATTACATATTACAATAAGAGTGCTGGATAAAAACATGAGGTACGAAAGTGGTTCAAAGATTATAGGTCATGCAGATCATGCGAGACAGCAAAGAAAGTTGTGAATGAGAAAACACTAAATAAAAATACATAAAGAATGTGCATTATAAAATAAAAAAAAAAAAACAAACCTCAATTACACAGCTTTGCTTCTTTGGTTACAAAGTAGGTTGAACAATTTCACAGCTTTTTATTCCCACCCAAAAAAAAAAATTATACGAAATGTCAAAAAGCAGAGGAATCATGGCAATTTCTCTCTATCAGAAAGTAGAAACAGAAATGAGCAAAGTTTTCTTCATCAAAATAGCCCATCAATTATTTATTATATCACAATAACTGGTGACTACCTGTACAGATGCACTATGGTCTTCATACTTACACTCTATACAAAATTTACATTCAAGCTGGATCTTTACTACCGTAAATAAATACCAAAGGTAAATTGCCATTAGTGTTAGAAATATGCCAGGATTCTTTTGTTCAATTATTGCCTAAACATTTTATCTATTAAACGCAATCCCATCTATCATTGTACTGATACATACATTTATTAAAAAAAAATTAAAAAAGTTCTGTGACATTGTTCATGTACATTATGAAAATAGCAGCCCTGTAATAAATAAAACAAATAAATGAAACTAATGTAGGCAAATGTTACTTTTATCGAAAGAACAGTGGCTCTTCAGATGAATTGTTACCTCTTACCGGAAAGCAAGGCTCAAAGTAATCCATGGGAAACGGAGACCCCGGAGAGCCACCAAAGCTCTGAGAAGACCTCACTCCTGCACACCAAGCAAACGCACTCTCTGCCTGAAAGCCTCCTGCTCCGACCTCCCTCGTGCACCCACGACGTGGCGGACACCACCGCGCTGCGCGACACCCGCGAGGGACAGCTCTCGGAGAGTGATTGTCTAATACTGAAAAGGCCAAACACAACAGAAGCACGGCTACTCGCTCTCGTATAAAGTGGGAAGGACGTCAGTGGCACACAGGGACAGACTGCTCTCGGGCTTTTTTGTTCTCAAAGGAGGCAGGGACGCTTTACGCTGAGGAGACATTCGGCTGCTGTGGAGGTTGCGTTGGCTGCGGAGGCTGTGCTATCGCTGTCTGCGCTTGTGAAGTGCTACTAGGATTGGCCTGTTGGGTTGAAAGTTGGGATAACTGATCATTGTTTGAAAGAGATTTTAACAGTGCGTTTTCTCGTTCAAGTAAAGAGTTTCTTTCAACTAATTCTTTTATTTGTTCCTTCAGGACTTCCACTTCTTCTCTTACTGCATACATCAAATGGCTTTTCACTAGATCCTGTGGAGAACAAGTTAACAGTTACACCAAGACAAAGAAGAACAGTTTCATTCCACTCCAACCCCAGAATTTACTATTTTACAGCTTTCACTGAAGGAAGTGGTAAGCCTGCAAAACTAAAGCACTTGTCACTAAAATGATATAAATAAATTAGCCTTCAAGAGTAAATAACCGAGCTCTAATTCACTGCAGAGTGGCCTTTGCATCAAAAGCTTTGTTCCCGGCATTAAGTTCTAGTCACCTCGGTCACGCCAAAGACAAGGACTAGAATTATGCTCTGGCTACTCAGAGTGACACAGCAGCTCTAAAGCTCTGACCTGCAGGTCCCAAGCACTGAGGTGCACGAGAACCGAGAAATAAGAAAGCCTCTAAAATCAGCAGAAGTTATAAGAGAAAAAAAAAAAAAAAAAAAATCAAACAGATGTAACAAAAATGTCAAGGATGGCACAGCATTAAGTGACAATTAAGAAAAAGTAGTAATGAACTTCACTAAAGTAAGAGACTTAAATGTGCTATTAATTTTCAGCCCCCCTTCAAGTTCAATCAGCTAGTTCTCAGAAATTCACAGGAACATTCATTTAAGAACACTTCTGGGCCAACAGTAAAAGCAATGCTGGTCTGTGGTCACCCGCAGTTGACGCAGAAGCGGCTGATACAGGGATGGCACAGACTCACAGAAGCACAATACAGCTGGAAACTTGCGCTCGGTGACGAACCACTAATCCTATTAGAAACAACAACTTATTTTTTACTTACCATTGCCTGTTCTATTTTGTTGTCAATGGCAACAACACTCGCACCAGATGCACTGTAAATATAAGGAGAAAACTTTGTGAGCATTACTGTATCATTCAGTTAAAACTCTGCACCCACTGGCACCCGCAGGACACCTCGAGTGGGCCTTCACCGAGAGGCAAAAGCTTCGGGTTTGGGAATTCAGTACCCAGTCATGGGGTCGCCCCCCTCCCCCCGTATTGCCCAGTGCAGTTAGAGCTCTTCAGAGACACTGCTCCTTCAGTTTATAATTCCTCAGGCTATGCTTATGACACCCATAACCAGAAAAATGCATTAGAATAAACAGTAAATTAACTGCTGTGATTCCCTGCCTCATTTTCCAGCTTTCTTCACTGAGGAAATCAGGGATTCAGGGGACGTTCATGGGGTCCTTTATTTCAGTTTTATTTCTGCTAAACTGCTTTTATAAAGCATTGAAGAAAAAAACCTGTTATAATATTTGTTCTCTGGCTTTACTTGAAAGCTACTGTCCAGTTAAAACGTTCCGGGATGATCAGCGTATTTACAACTCTGCGACCCAGCGGCAGCAGTCGGTGCAGGAGTCAGACGTGACCGAAGCCCGAACTGCATGAGCGCTTACGAACTCTCACAGGATCACATTAACACCCAAGACACGCAGGGGCTGGTTACAGCCAGGGTCAGTCTTGTTCCAAAGACACACTGGTGCAGGACAGTCCAACAAAACACCTCTGCCGTCACCATCGGAACGGGCATTTACTGCGCCAAACAAGACGCTGAACTACATCTTTAAATCCCGGGTTACGGCAATCCGGACCTTCGCATTTTTGGCCTGCTTTCAAGTCACAATACCTGAATGCCAGCCAGTCGCTCACTCGTCACTCTCTGGAGTCAGAATTTTGGGAGGGGGGTGTCCCTGCTCTCGTGCTCCCCGACCTCCCCACGAGAGAGGAGCTGTCGCGCTGCCCGGGGGGTCAGACAGGGCACCCCCCACCGCACGCCACATCCACACACGGGCTCGGCCGTCCGTGCTCTCCACACTATGTCTCCGAGGTCTGATCTTACCCCTCAGCCCCGTGCCCGACACCGGACGGCCGTGCTGCGACTGTTTACCAGCCCCACCAGTGACGGCTGCTGATAATGCTCCCCCAGCGACGGCGGCCGCTATCAGCAGCGTGCAGCCACGCTGAAACGAGTTAACACACGGGGAGAAGGCAAGGTTTGCAGTCACGCCTGGAAACTCGCCCCTCTGAAAATACGTAACTCACTGAAACCAAGCGTTAAGAAAAAAAACTACTGAAGGTTTTTTAAAATGAGTATTGGCAATATGCTCAGCAGTGTTAGCTACATATGTGACACAAAGCTCAACTATGGAAAGAATATGACAGTATTTAGCGAAAGCCATTTTAACAAGTCTCACAAGAGACAGTACCTGCCACCAAGCAACGAGTAAAGGGAATCAGCATTTTAGACTGAGGGAGTAACAGCCTCTACTTCTAAATTGAAGAAAACTTGTAATATCAATCCAAAGTGCTAAACACCCACTTCACAAGAAAATTGTTCCAGTATCTGCCTTCTAAGCCTCTTTCAAGCCATACTCGTGCTAAACCTCCTCAGCATAAAAAGTATCTATAATTCATGACAAGGTTAAGAATTCGTTCCAATTTTGCATTGATGTGTTTCAGATCTATCTGGAACTGTTAAAAATGTCTGTGTCGAAGAGCCACTGAAACCCCCGAGAGTGCTGCGTGTCCCCGACAGCCTTTCGCAAACAGCCCTCCACCAGTCCGGTGAGGCAGGTCTGAAGAGAGAGGAGCAAAATTAAAGCAAACATCACACTTTGTAGTGGGATCTGCTTCTGCATCTTTACAGCGTAATTAAGACACCTTTGCTCAATACGTTTCTAGTTAAATTTGAGACTGGGACTTGTTCTTCTGTTCCCGTTTCCACTCCTTCGCAGTGCGATTGTGTAAGAAATGAAGCCCGTTACACCGCTCAGAGTGAAGGCATTCCAGCAGCTCCACGAGCAAACCTGTCCCATGGGAGACAGGCAGTCTTCCCCTTCACCGCCCGCAACTCCGGTCCCTGCCGGGCGCGCTGCAGAAGGACCTTTCCCACGCCAGACCTCGTGCTCCACGTTCTCACCTGCCTCTTACACCGGCGCAGCGTTCCCAGCTGGATACAGGGTCCCGCAGGTGGGATCCGAATGCAGGCAGAGAACTACCGCTCTCCCACCCATCTGTTAGGCTTCAAGGGATACTAACAGCGTGCTGAAAGCCAGGAGTAGTTCACACACTAACGTTACTCCTTTCAATATTCTTGTTGCGCTTATCCCCAGAGCAGCTGGTGCCATTGTCGAAGGACCGAGTCGGGACTCCAGACGCACTCCCTGCACAAATCCAAATCCCGGTGTCCATCCTGCTCCCTCCAGCAGGCAGAGCCGGGACCCCAGACCGCCCCGGGAGAAGCTGCACGCCGACAGAGCAGCCTTCGGCTAGTCAGGTGTGGTGTTAGCCTGATGACAGTATTGCATCTCACTTTCTAGAAGCATACGGGAACTAGGTTTTATGCTAGCACAGCTCCCGTATGATCCTGTCCTTTTTTCGTTTCATAGTGCTCCCCACAACGAATCGCTCCTGAGAGGCGCTGGGAAGCAGAGCACTCCAGTGCCAGCTACTCTTACAGTACAGTCCAAATATGCTGCCGGATCTTAACATGTTCTGTTTTTCTCAAATCCTTAATCGCTGATAATCAAATCCACGTTTGCATAAAAATATTTTGTCCCATGGCTGCAGAATGAAATTTATAAGTACAATCCAGTGCTTATGAAAAGGCCAGGAAAAAAATAATAAATCTGTTAAATAAGGCTTTTTGGATATCATAACTGGAAAGAGTTTGATACATTGTCTGAGTGCACCATCCACTGTATATCCAATGCCTCAACTTGCAAATTCTTGAGTTAGAAGTGGAAAGACACATTTAGCTTTTATAAAAAAAGGACCGATTACTATGCCGTGCTTTTAGACAAAGTTGATTGTTGCAGGAACTACAGAAGTCTGACAATTATTGTCAAAGCTGTAACACACACACACAGAGAAATCCACACCAAGTGGATTGGCAGTGGAAAGACATGCATTAGGCATATAAGACTTTTTTTTTTTTTTGTAACTGCAAACTTCCCACTACCCCCTCAAACTGAGCTTTTGCAGCCAACTAACTACCATGCACACACACGGCAATCTAGGAGAACAATTCCGTTTGACATGGCCCTCCAAGTTACGGTTACGTGAACGAAGGTGCTGACCAAACCGAGGTTATATTGGTACACCAGTATCACTCTGAAGCCCATCAAGTACAAGGCAAGATTTATAATCAGTAAAAATGACAAAGACTACCAAGTGCAGTTTGCCATTCCCAGAGATGGTAAAACCGACATCTTTCTACCTTACACACCAGATGTCTAGGAAATCCTCATTTTGAATGTTTAAAATACCCTAGTGGCTTAAGTGGTTTTTTTTTGGTTTTTTTTTTTTTTTTTACATTTTACTTTGAAAGACCAAGGGGAAAACTAGATTTTGACTGCTAATAACACCGCTTAGCTATGGCTTACAATCAGGTACGCACTGTTTGAAACAAAGTGTTTTATCAAATACTTACAGCGTGCACCTCAGAATTCTTTATGTCATATTTTAGGAATATTTCTCCTATATGCCTACAACTCAAGAATAGCATTACATTTTTTTTTTTGTTTCAAATATCTTGCAAACAAAGCCAGAGAAGTATCTTGGACAATCATGCACATACGGATTACGAAAATGTGAAGAGAACCGGTGAGTCTAAGTGCAAGTCTGATTTCTAATGCACGTTACACAATATACAGCAATCACACTTTCCATCATGCATCACATCCTTAAAAGCCTCTGTATAATTCTGACTTAATTGCTGCAAAAACCTTTTCCTATGGAGATGATTTCAGTATCATCATCAAGATGTTTCAGTATCATCAACCAGCTATATCGTTAAAGAAAGTGTTTGGCAGCCCTGTTCGCACAACACATACCAGTGTATAACTTCACTGAAAATACAGATGTTACATCATGAGGAAACACGTGTTCTTTGTAAAGCATAATTTCGCAGTTCAAGAAAGCTTATTTACTATTCCAAAACTTGAACAACACTGTTCACAGAATGGGAAAGTGAATAAGTGACTAATAGAAAAACTGAGAATGAGCGGATCAGAAAACAGCAAAAAAGGTTAATGTCTTCATGGTAACTTGCTAATGGCTGGAGGAAATTTAACCTTCAACACCACCTCACATTGGCAGGCACCAAGATCTTGTTCAGTGGTGAATTCAACAAGCGCCACTGCACTCAGCGTGGTCTTGTCACCATCGATGTCTTTAGATATAACTATCACCCCTTGAAGAGACGTTCTCAACTTCAAAATTCACTTCAAAACCGAGGTAGAAAGACTAGGAATCAAACTTCAAAGTAGAGGTATCTGCAGCTTAATTCACTCTGTACGGTTAAAAAAAAGAACGCAGTGGTTCATTTTCAGAGACTCCACAGTCCTCGTTAACGTGTGTATTTTACACCAATGCTGGTGCATGAGGAGTGCGAGTCACACACAGCCCTACTTGGGCACTGCCAAGTACATTTAGATGAGACTGCAAATCCTACTGACTGGATGATACAAACGAATTTTGAAGCTTCAGGGTTTTTAGTCAGTAACAAAAAACATATTCTGTGTTCAGCTGTATTACTCATTACCCACACACTACTTTCCCAAGGAATTTCTTAGCACCAAGTCACTCTCCAAAAGACTGCCTCAACGCACGAGTTTTCTTGCTTTTTTGTGCTCTTGATATTTCTTCTAAATTTTAGCATCAAGAGTTACTATACTATTCACCTCATGCGTTTAGATACATAAAACCTATCGCTCAACATTGCTAATCCTGCAAGAGTGGAAAAGACTGCCTGCAGAACAGACTACCAACGGGTACAGCGATGCTCGCAAGAGCCCGGGCCAACAGCCGCTGCACGACAACTCTCCCGGTAAAGCACCAGATCTACTTCGCTTTAGGTTAAAGGGGAAAAGATGTTACACACGGCAGTCTCAGACAGACACCCCTGAACCAGGTGATCCCCTCCCGGCGCTTTTGTTATTGTTGCCTTAAATCAAATTATCAAGCAACCTTTCTGGAAGGAACAGTAAGGTACCTTGAAGTGTTCCCGCATTTGCTTTGCTGGCAAGCGAACTACAAACTAAAACAGTGTGTTAATTTATTCTTTCCCCTCATTGGTTTGCTCATTTACGAGCTACTGCAGTGACTTAACCCACCACTCTTCCATGTCTTACCACTAGTTTGAGCTATTTACGCCATCCACAGAAACCTTGAAACAGTTAAGACATGTTTAATTAGCTTCCATCCAATTATGAGATTTTATAATGACAGCTTCCCAATACGATCAATTATCCAGCTTTGAAAGAGTATCTACCCCAAGTATTTCAGATTTTCACCATTTTTCTTTGTGAAGCCACGTGAGAAAGCCTGAGGTGGTGAATTCGCAGCCTCAGGGTTAGGGGCAGGTGCCTGGCTTCCCCGCAAGTCTACTGACGCTCCTCCGCCAAACAGAGGAGAACCTGCTCCCACAGGGCAGGAAAGTGTTCTTCAGTTTCACTGAAGCTCTGAAGATCAATTATTCAACACAACATCGTAACTCATCTTATAAGCAACGCATGAGCTCTATAAAAGAATACTTCTGGGGAAAACCAAGATGATGATTGAATTTAATTGGTTTGGATTTGTTGGTTAGGGTTTTTTGAGGTGGGTTTTGGTGGGGTATTTTTTGACATTAAAGAGAAATATGTCTCCTTCATAGCTTCGGTAAGTTTTTGAGTTACACTAATGAACCACTCCTCCCTATGCATGAAGACAGTCACATCGCGCACCACTTCCATGAGAAGCATCACGAAGAAACACGTTAGGTACAACACCGACTGGATCAGTGTGTTACTTGAAAGGTCAGCCTCGTCCTAAGACTCTTTAAATTTCACATGGAGTTTTAGACTTTTAATTTCAAATCAGAAAAGTTGCACCCCTAAAAGGGCCTCCAGATAAGGCTACAATCAAGAAGTGGGAGATGTGTAACCCTTGACTTTCTCTTGTCTCCAGGAGAGGCATCTCATATAACGGAAAGGCTTGGAATAGGGAAATGGAAGTTTGGCAAAATCCATCACACAGAGAGATGCTAATTTGCCACATTTACACACAAAGAAAGATGTTTACCAGCAACACTTAGAATACATTTATCTGGGTGTTAAAGTAGGGAGAAAATCTAGATTTTATGAGTTGATTTATATTGTGAAGGTATAATGCTTCACACAAAAACGCAACGGAAGCACAAATCCAGCTGCTTTAGCTTCGAGTTTACCAAGAACGGCCATGTTTTAGGCAAACCCACCTAAAGCTCCCCTGGCACTATCACCACCCAGAGGCAAGGCAGGCGCAGAAGGGCAGGCGCCCAGGCTCACGTGGACACGCCAGGAAGCCCTTGTTCCCCTTCTTGATCCTCCCAGCAACCGCGGCAGCTGAAGAGACAGACCCGCCAGACCCACAGCAACACCCGCGCAAACGCTGCACACCGCCGCCGGCAGCCCTTCTGGACGGGGTGGGTCGCAACCAGTATTTCACTAACATTTAATGCTTTGATTGCTACCAGCACTCGAATGCTAACACACTCGCCATGGTGTGTCAGTGAAAAGCAAACACGTCTCTATTCTACTGCAGCAATTTAGCAAGCTCTGTCTATTGCAACAGCATGTGGTTAGCTTTGCTGACTTCAGACGGCCCCAAGAGATGGCTGTCGTAGGAGAATAGTCCGCATTTGTTAGGAAAAAAATACTGAAGTTACACAGGAAGATTTTCTATTATGTTTACACTGAAGTCTCCTAACTCAAGCTCCTGAGGTTCACAAGCTACTCTTGAAGGAGATGCAAAACGCAACTAGCGTCCACTGCCAGCAGGCCTAAGACCCTTGTGTTCTGCAGCGTGTTAACCCCCACATTTTGGGACAGGGAAACAAAGGGATTCTCAGGAAATCAGACGAGCTTCTCGTTTTCATGGCAGAGACTTCCTTCACGAACCGGAGACCACAAGAAGAGTCCTAACGCCCCGTGCCTGTCCCCAAACTACTCAAGCCTGAGAGCAGATCCAGCCCCCCCGCGGCTGCCAGGGACCCCCGCCCCGGGAAGGGACCCGCAGCCGCCTCACCGCCGGGCCCTCGCCCTTCCCGCCGCTGGATGCCCAGGGGAAGGTCACCCCTGAGAGCGTTTCACTCATCTAGCGAAGCAGAACTACACGGCGTGGTCTGAAGGAAATGTGACAACTGGGTTATAAATGCAAAACCCGCTAAACCCTGTCAAAGACGGGAATTCGAACAGATTAGAAGTTTAAAAACTTGCATCAATCCTGATGAATTTGCTTCTATGTTTCTACAAATACTTGTTTCTACCACAAATCGTTCAACAGCAAAGATGCAAGACTATTTTTAAAGGAAACCATTTACATTCTCCTACCCGAGTTTAATGTTTTTCTGTATCACATGCTTCCAATTCTTGCTTCAGACACTACATAAACCTCAGGTTTGTGAAGCCTCAATCTTAATCAATAATTATTTTAGGAGTTTTTTGATTCAGCTTCCTCATGTTCAGAATTATTTCAAGTTAAGAGACATGAAAATGGAGAAACGGATGAAGGCTAGACCTTAAAGCGAGCTTTTGATCTAACTACTAAGTTTGTATTCAAGGCCCTGAAGTTCAGGCTCCAAGGACTTCACTATTGAACTGAAATAAATACAAACTGTGGAGTCTGGCATCATCCAGAGCTTAAAGCAAAAATGCAAATTTGTACAAGTTTCTGCTAGAAAAGGAAGATGTGCTTTTGAAACGTAGCCTAACACTAGCACTTCAGCAAAACCCAGAGCAGGATGCATCAGCATTACTTTTAACCATGAGGGTTGTACGTACACAAATTGTTGCCAGGCAAACTTTAAAGGATTCAGTTAAGCTTTGCAAGTCAAACAGCCTCTCAAGTCAAATACAGCCAATACAATGATGAAACAGTTATCAATACTTCAGCAGCTTCTACAGAGGTTGCTAAGCAGAAGTATTGTGACAAGCCAGAGCATTACAAGGCAGGAAGTCACACCATCACTAGGGCTTCAACTGACAAAAAAAAAAAAAAAAAACCAAAAAAAACCAAAAAAAACACCCTTCAAAAATCATTAAAGTGCAGGAAAGAAATAGTTTGCAGCCACTGATGAATTAGTAATGCATCTCTGACAAGTCATATCTGTGACAGATATGACTTTGTGGCACTTCATTGCAGTTTCTCGCCATGAGTTCAATGCTAACTTAGTAGGTTTACTTCGTCCTCGTATCTTGTCACGGTTCACGTTTGTTCCCCATTTCGCTTTACTTCAGCAGAACGAAAGCAAGCCAGAAAGCTTCCTTTCCTGGTTTTGAGACCCAAAGATTTTAACTTTGCCAAAATTGTGTTCAAATATAACATTTTCACAACTTGTTTTCCGATATAGGACTCAATAGCCACAATGCCAAAAAGTTTCCTTTTTTTGGAAAAGGAAGCTGTAAACATTTTAGTGCAAGTCAGCTAGTAGCCGACTAGCTTTAAACTCTTAGCTTACACATTATGTATGGTACGTGCATAATGGAAGGAGGAAAAAAGAAAACATCATATCATATTATTTTAAACTTATTTAAGTTTCAGTAAGAATACTTCACTTCCATGACTGCCTTCAGACCTTCAGGCTGTGGAAGCCCTACACGGAGCTCTAAACACAAGCAGCAGTTCTGTGCAAACAAAAATGACGAGAAACTTGCATAGAGCGAAGCTGTTCATGCATACCTCAGCACGTATGCATTCCATACGTAAGCATTCATACCTATCCCAGAAGGTCTTTGACTCGCGTAACTTGTTGAATTGGAACGCTTGGTAGAATGCAGTTGACGGATTCCTATGAGATCCAAGAATCAAACAGACATATTGAAAATGGGTAGGTAATAAAAATACCAACTCTCTTATTCAACCTGCATTACAAATTAAATTAGCTTTTCAGACAGGTTAAATTTATGTCCAAAAGTTTACAGACTTTACAGAATGCCTAAAGAATAGTTTAATGACTGAAAGGCCTTACTGTTTCTCTGGGTTTCCATTGAGGACATACTGATTCAAAAAGAAAAAGTAATCCTTGAGCCCTACGGATTTTCATGCTATTTCAAGTTGCTACTGTAAAAAGACAACGGTAAAGCCATTAATGAGACACCTCATGTCATGCTGACAATCTTGGCTAGGTAAGCTGTATACACTCTAATGCTATATGTACCTAAATTCAAGAGAAAGAGATACCTCTCATATTTTTCATATTTCACAAAATGTCTCTGCAAACAGCATCCAGTATTTCTACTCTACTTAGCACCCTACGTTATGTTCAAAACACAAGTTCTCCAAGAGGACCTAGAAGTCGGAGCTAAATACATCTCAGGTTACGACAGATGAAGTTACAACAGAAAACCAGATCAAGTTAAAATTGAAAAGTGGAATCTAGAATACCGCTAACTTTGTAAGCGGTTGACAGCCATCCTCATGCTTCCCCCTCCGGGAGTGCAGCAGCACAACCGCTGCGCAGAGGCGCAGTGCTAAGCGGCACAGGGGAGCACTCCCGCGCCCCCCCGCCGGCACCAGCCGCCCTGCCGAAAACCGGACACTATGGCACAAATGCCGTCACCAGCGCCCAGCCCCTGCGACAGCCCGACCCACCTCGTTCAGCATTGGCCCCACAGACAGCACCTATACCCCACAGACAGCACAGAGCATCACCTGAAGAGCTGAGATCTCAAAAGTCTCATCTGAACACTTATTGTTTACAAGATAACAGAAAAAGCACAAAGTTCTCTACTGCTAGGGGCGGTATCAGAGCGTTATACTCCAGCTTAGAAACTCCTTTTATCAATACTGCAGTTCATCCTTACCTTGGTATAACTGTACCAGCCCGAGAGATGAATGCAACAGCATAGCTGGAAGACCCTCAGAAAAGCTAGTATTAGTCCAAATTCCTTTTAAAGCCAGTTTTAAAATCTGAAGTTTATACCAACATTAGAAGCACACATGCTCATCCCCTTCCTAAGTTCATGGCAAGAATATGTCTTAAAACTGTCTTCAAGTTATTTAATTATTTCCATTTAAGTCCAATTACTGTATAGTTGAAATAATAAAACAAAACAAACAAAAAAAATATCACAGAAGCAGCACCATAACAAAACACTTTAACTGACATAATTTGATTCCCATGGCAGGTATATACCAAAAACCTCACAAGTATCACGATATTTGTGTATCAGCAATGATCAGGGATCACCTGCTTGAAGTATTTGTCACTCCTCCTTCCACCTTCACCGCTCTATTCTTCAAAACAAAAATTCTCGTGAGCCTGGAATTTGGCTTAAAACCTGCTACAGGAGTTGCTTGATCACGCTGATAAATACCCGGCTCCTGTTGGTACTGCTTGTGTTTTCGTAAGGAGCACTGCACACTTGAGTGACAACTAAATACAGCTAATTATAGGAAGAGCAACACAGTAGCTAAAGGACATTTGCGCCATACGGGGCCGTAACGTATGGAAAGCAGTTGGCATCCGCAGAGAACGGAGCGTTCCTTTGTCGAGGGGAAGGACTTCTAATTCAGTTGTCTGTGAGGAGTATGTAGAAAGTCTCTTCCTCAGAAAGCGACTGTAAATAGAAAGCTATTTAACTTCCAAGATAAATTTACTTGCAGCATAGAAAGCCCTGTTGCTATTGTTAGGTGTAAAAAGTTGTGGTTTATAACCACACGGCATGTATTTCATATGGTCTATTTTTATGCTGATACTGGCTTAAGAATAGTACCAGAATAAAAAGCACACAGTGTATCTGGAAAGGTATGAAAAAGTTTTCCTTGTTAAATTCTCGTTTGTATCCCTTGCTGTTGAAATTGCTTTTGCATTACTTCAGACAATTAAGAGAACATTCTCTACTCCATATTTTAGCAAAATGTTAAGGGGGGTGGCTATCCAAACAGGAGAAGCTAATGCACGGAGGTAACATGAACGATGCTGGATGTGCAGGGCTGAACTAATACGACGGAGTTTCAGACTGTTGAGGCATCTATTTCTAACCACGTTAAAGAGTAAACGTTAGAGAATTACTAAAAATTCCTTTCAGTTTGCAGAAACTATTGAGAAAGAGGCTCACGGCAGCAGTGTGACGGAGCCCGCTGCTGCTGTGTCACGCCTGAAACACCACAAGTCCCTCTGAGACCGCCTGAACCGAACGGAGGGGCCGCCCGGAACACATCAGCAGATCCGCAGACCCCCCCCCAGCAGACCCCCAGGTCCGAGAGGTCACGGCTCAGTCCCCGGGGCTGGCAGACTGACGCGGCCAGAAAGGGGTGTCCCGCTGGAGAGCCCAGCTCCTCTTCCGCAGGAGGTACACCAGGCACTCCTGCTCCTCCGTCCCCGGCGAGAGGAGAGCAGGCGTTCCCAAGGACAGAGGGGCTCCATGCGTCCCAGAGAACATGGCAGACAACTTGCTCAGCACGTTTAAACACTCAAACTGTATCTCGCTTGGTAAAATAATGCCTCCATTTCTCTATAAAGAAGTCCTACAACTCATACCTTATTTGTTTCCTTTAAAAGCTCACAAACGTCAGTATTCACAACACACTCAGGTGTTACAGCTTCTAACAACAGCTTTCGTGCAACAGAAATTAGATTGAATTTCAAAGGATGAGAATTGTATAAATTCTCGGAATACTTGAAGCTGCGGGCTGCCCCTTTAGAAGGGAAGCCCAAACCCCATCCAAAGTCTCACCTCGTATTTGAAGGAGTCTCCTCCTGCTGCCGTTAACCAGGACAAGCACATGCCAAATAACAACTTTATGAGACAGCTCTACTTCACCAGAAACCACGCCCATGAAAGTTGGCAAATTTTCAAGTATACAGATAAATGCCTTTTCGTTTAAATAAGAATACTGGCTTTGGGAGCGCTGGGTACCAGCCTGGCATGCGGAGGCTGCTCAACAGATGCCCTTTTTCCAGCTTCTACCTCTGAGGGAGGAATACAAACAGCCTTGTTTGTGACACAGCTGAAGCTATGCTTCAGTCTTCAAACTATTAATCAACATCAGCAATTAAGGGCAACAAGAGGTGGAACATGTGAAGAACACCACGCTTTTTTCTTTTCCTCCCAAGGTAGCAGAACAAAAATTCACACCTGACCACCTCAGACAGCTCTCTCTCAGTATTACCAACTATTATTTTCATTAACTTTGAGAATAGGAATGATCCAAAAGATTAAAAGGGCCTAAGCACCTCTCTTTGAAGAATTTGAAAATAACAGGTCAGCCAACCCAGGGTCAATACCTCAGAGGAAAGCCACGGCAAAGCAGAACCACCTCTTCATTACCAGACAGCAGCCAGCCAACATGGACGGCCTTTTCAGAAGCTTAGGTCAGGCAAAAGTTCCTTCTGAGAAAAATTAACAGGGCTCATATAGAAAGAACACAGAAGACGTGATCACGTTACAAAGCTAGTAGAGCTTTTAATGCCATCTTGCACGACGTTTTTATAAGAACATGGCTTACACAAAGCAGGTCCACCACTGAGAACTGCTCCACGGCTGAGTGGAAGGATGCCCCAGAAGAGCTCTGCGGGGGTCTCCTCCGAGCGCGCTACAGCAGACTGTAACCCACGGCTGGGGCAGCCGCGTACAGACTATCTCCATACCCACAGACGATCTGCAAGCACTCCGGACAGCAGGAACAGAGTCCAGGATGATCCTGCCCGACCGGAGCAATGGTCTGAAGCAAAAAGGATGCAGTTCAATAAGGCTAAGCGTGAAGTACTACGCTCTGGCAGCAAAAATCAGCTGCACACGTACAAACCCCGGAATGACCAGCTGACCGCAATGCCACAGAAGAGAATATAAACAGAAATAAAAATCTTGCAAAGGTGTCAATTTTGCAATACTCCTCTTACACACAGGATGCACATGCACTAACTGAAGTCTTGTTTTATTCGGCCCTTCTGAGCTCTTAACTTAAAATTTTATCACCAGTTTTGGATACCAACTCTCCAGAAGGATCTGAGCCTACCAAAGTCCAGGTAAGACCACTAGAAGACATGTCATGTTCTGTTTTTTTTCCCCCAGTAATCAGAATCGCTAAGTAGGAAAATTAAGCCTTTAAAAGGGATGAAAGAGACACTTAAAGGCTTCACATAGTTTAAAGTATCTGCAAAGGAGAAGAAAACTTGTTCTCACACCTGTTAGGTATAAGCACAGCACATTTAATTGTAGCAAAGAAAGTTTAAGCCACACATCAGAATTGTCTCCCACACGAACAGCAAGGACTGGAAAAGACTTCTTACAGAAGCGGTGGGATTCCCACACTTGTCATTCTAGAAGAGACCAAGCCGTTATTTCCCCAAAAGATTTCAGACCCTTAAGTCTCCAGATCAGCCCATTGGCCCATCTTTCACAATTCTCTGAGAATTCAGGACATCCCTAGCAAGAACTTTAAAGCAGAAGTTCTGTTTTGAATGGGATCAACTCCTACAGGAACAAAATTTAACTATGAAATAGAATAGAGAGAACTGAAGAAAGCGGCTAGTTTGTACTTTGAAATCAAACTGCCTTTCTGTTCAACTATGAAGTTCGTGTCTTTTTTTGGTGGAAAGGGAGGAATGACCATTCTAAAACAAAATTCTTCTTAGCTGCAGACAAAGCTCATACTGAAGCACCAAGTTTAAGATTAGAAAGTATCAGTAAAACATCCATTATTCTTGTGTTCCTAGTCTTAGAAGTAAGGTCGTTAATCATACAGCGATGCACCAATCCGACCGGGAATTCAACAGCAACTTCCAGCATCCTCTCCCTTGTGCAGAAAGCTACAGGAGCCTGACAATATCCCTGCAAATAAAAC